GGCAACTGAATCTTGATTTAAGACAGTTAAATTTATAAAATGAACTGTTATTTATGTTAGTAAATCTGTGAGATGCATATGGACCATTTAAATAGTCTTCATATTATCCTTATATTGATATGAAAAGGAGACCTGTAAAAAGAAAATATATTGCACTTGGATATTTTTAACTTTTGAAATTCAAATAAATTAAGAGAATTGCAGAGATGAGTCATAGAATATTGAGATTTAGCTGGATTGGTCATAATATCCAATCTCTCACATGCTTTTTATTGGATAAATATTCAGATTGGAGGAAGTTGGTTCACAGACTCCCCACACCATTTAAATTTTAACTTCATATTTGGCAGAAAACACCTTTCAAAAACACCTTGTGACATCATGAGATATTCTATAATGATATTTTCCAAAGTCTTCACTATCAAAAGAACTGAAGAGCTGTTACTATCAGAAATGACTCAGTTTGTTATTTATATTATTTCATTTTGTATGTTGAGTCCAAAGTTGAAATTGCATTACTGCTGCTTTCATGCAATTGAAAGTATGGTAACAACAACTCAAATGAGTGAATTGAGCTTGTTATCAAAAAAAAATAAAAATTAAAAAAGATAAATTATCTATTTAACGAGGTCATGACTGAAAAGTATGTAAATCAAGTTATTTTGTTCAGCAAAATCAGTAGCAATTTTTGGTCTTGCTTTCCATTTTAATACTAAAAGGCCCTCAGGACAGGCAGAAAACTTATGTATTTGAAACTTTAGAATTTATGAGAACATAAATTCTGGAGCTCACCAGCAGTAGAATTTGCAGTGCTCTGAAATGTCATGATTATATTTTCTATTGACTAATACTATCATTTGTTGTTGTTCAGACACTGTCATATCCAACCCTTTGTGACCCCATGAACTGCAGCATACCCTCCTAAATCTCACTCGAATCCTCTGAGTGTTCTTCAGCTACCTGGGTGCCTCTCACTGGGGTGTTTCTCTTGCTCCTGCTATACCATAGTTCCTGATGAATCTCTGAGCTCTAGTCACAGTACTCAACACACAAAGCATGACCACTCCATGCCTCCTGCCTGAATCCCTTTGAAGCTGTCCCCTGGCCTTAGGATAACTGTTAAAATCCTTAACACGCGCCACTGTGCACTGTGCAGGCCAGTCCCTTCTTGACGACCCAGCCTCCTCTGCACCCCCTGAGCCCGTGCCCAGGGTTCTGGGCCCCTGGTGCCTCTCCAGTCTTCAAGTTCACCAGTCTCCCTTCCACCCCAGGGCCTCTGGCCAAGCTCTTCCCTCAGTCTGGAAGCTTCTCCACTCCTACGTCTCCTGCTTGCTCCATTGAGCCCAGACAAATCACATCATCTCCTCAAAGAGCCTGCTCTGGGCCTCTCAGGTCTTTCTGTGTGCAGTCTTGAGGCGCTTACCATTGTCCAATGTGCACAGCTCTGTTTGTGTGATAATTTGGTTAATATCTGTCCCAGCTATATGAGGACAAAGGCTGACTCTGTCTTTGCTCATCTTTATCCCTAAAACCTTAACAGTGCCTGATGCATAATCATAATATGCACATAATTATATTTGCTCAGCAAATGAATATACGTATAACTAAGAAGCTGGTGTTCCCATTAGCTAGTTTTATCTTCTCATCACCCAAAGACAGCTTGAATGAATTTTTTAAGTTCTTTGTGTAGAAACCACTACTCTTGCTTTTCTCATGAGTTTCTAATATTAAAATGGCAAGTGAGACCCCAAAAATGCTATTAATTTTGCTGATTAGAAAAAAATTGCTTAGATGTTTCTCAGCTATAACTTTATAGAGCTAGTTTTTCATGCTGAGATTTTTCATAACAAGCTCCATTTGCTTTTTGAAATGGTTTCAACATCCACAGACCTCTGTCTTTTGTTGTCAGCTTATCTCTTGTTGTGTTAAAAACCACTCTCTTCTCCTAAAATGTCTTCTTGTACATTAGGTATTTTCATAGTCTTTATGATACTTATATATAATTATAGGATATAAAAATAAAGCATAAAAGGGCTCTATATATCTATACTCTGATTGTGTTGAATTGTAAATAATTATAAATAATAATTGTAAATAATTCAAATTATCTTCATCTCCAAATTTAACTCTAATCTGTACCTTCTTCTGTGGACTGTATTACCAAACTTTTCTATCAATCATATTTTCATGGTAGGTAATTGCCTGGTATCAGCAAAATTGGGTTTAATAATTTTTCCACATGAGTCAACTGCCACCTCAAGAGCAAGGCAGTAACTTTTTTTGAATGATGTGGTTTGCCTGCTTTCATTGGCATATTTAAATTTTGTCGGCATACATTTTTTTTCCTATGGTGTTAAGCTAATTAATTTACACAGAAAGAATCTTCATCTTATTGTTTTGCACACTGTGCTTTGTTTCCAGATAAAATTGAAACTTGGTGGGGAGTATAGGATATATTCACTACAAAAAACACACTGAGGATTTATGAAAATTTTAATCACCCTAAAAGATGAAATCTAGTGACACACAATTATCACTATGCTTTCTCTGCTTTGCCTGATTTTACATGAGCATGTTCAGCAGTTGTTCCCTCCCGTATTGGTTGTTTCGGGGTGGTCGATACTAACTGAAAAGTTAGTTGATTCTAGAAGAATGTCACTATTTTCTTTCTAAAATCAATCAATCCAACATCCCTTGAAAAACATCTTTTTATTTATTTTTTAAGTGGGGTATAATTGCTTCCCAGTGTTGTGTTCGTTTCTGCTTTATGATGAAGTGAATCAGCCATAACGTTAAACCTTCAGTCGTGTCCAACTCTTTGTGACCCCAGGGACTGTAGGCTCCTCAGTCCCTGGGATTCTCCTGGCAAGGATACTGGAGTGGGTGACCAGTCCCTTCTCCAGGGGATCTTCTTGACTCGGGGATTGAACCAGGCAGATTCTTCACTGTCTGAGCCACCAGAGTAATGTACACATATAAATAAAAATTATAATTTAGAGTTAAACAGCATTTTAAAGTATCAGCTAGCACTCTACGTGCTTGCAAATATTAAGTCATGTCATCCTGATAAATGTGTGGGAGGTTTCATTTTCTTCTCACATTTTTAAAGGTGAGGCGATTAAGGCACAGAGAGACTGTGTGTCTCCCTCAAGGTTACACAGACACAGTGTTACGTGGTGTAGCTGGAGTTCATTCACTGGCTGTTGGTCTTCAAAACCTGCCCTTTCAGCATCTTATGAATGTGGCTAGCACAAGTAACACCAAGTGGAACAGTAACCCTAAGGGTGCTGTGAGAGCGTGGAGGGTTGGTGTCAGAGCTAGGGCTCTGAGCCCAGCCTGGGTCTTCCCGAACCCGTGCTATTGCAGGGCTCACCCATCCACAATTACATAAAGAAACATCCACACAAACTAGAGTTCAAAACCAACGCAGAGCTATAAACTCCTCAAATATCTGCAAGAAACTGAAGTATGCATTTTACAAGATGAAATTCAAATCCTTTCGGGGAACTCTGGAATACCCTCCCAAAATCTGGGGTTTCCAGGAGCGATGTGAAGCCCCCTGACCCCTTTGATAGCTCATCTGGAGTGGAGGACTGTTTCCTGAACTTCAGAGCCCCAAGCATTCACCCCACCTCTCATTTGCTCTTCAGTGTACAGTGGCTCCCATGCAGAGTCCATCAGATGTTCAAGTCCTATTCTTTTGGTTAAAAAATGATTTTTTTTTCTTTCAATAAAGAAACATTGATCTGTCAGCATAGATTGCCACATAGCACAGTTGAATTACTTTTTAAAATATATATATATATTTATTTTATTGATTTGGCTGCACTTGGTCTTAGTTGCAGCATGCAAACTCTTAGTTGTGGCATGTGGGATCTATTAATAGTTTCCTGACCAGGGATCCAACCTGGCCCCCCGCCCTGGGAGCTCACTGAACCACCAAGGTAGTCCCTGAATTACTTTTTATTCCCCAACACTCTGTGCATAGATATTTGCTCCAGTATAAACCAGCTTCTCTGTATCTCTTAGAAAATGACATCCATTCCTTGACTCCCCACACTGTACCTCAATACTTTCAATAGACCTTCATCTGGCCCCTTGAGAACAAATGCAATAGCTTTCTTTCCCTTCACTTTCCTTTTTCTAATAATTATATCAGTTATCTCTTAGTTAACCAGGTTCAAAGCCTAAAAGTGGTCTCTGATCTATCTTTGTCTATCTTATATCCTCCATGTATTTTTGTTTCTTTTTTATTTTCATTTTTTGGTAAGGAAAAAAAGAAGAAAAGGGAGGAACAGAGAGAATCAGACTCATTGTTTGACAGTTGGAAACCATTGCAAAGGATTATAGTGCTAAAATGAAAGCTAAATGCTAAAACTCAACGAATGGATTCAATTGATTAATGGATATGATTGCTGCTTAAAATTACTAAGTAAAATGCAAAAACAAAGAACCCATGCATTTTTTTCCCCTTCAACAAAACCAGAAACAAGTATTTATAAATTTACACAATGGTAAACATAATTGTGGGCTCTGGGAATACGGTGTGGCCTAAGTTTGTCCTACCCTTAATCTAATTATTATCATTTGTGATCCTGGAATTAGCAACAGGGAACAAGTGGAAGGAGCTTTAAACAAGATGGAAAGATGGCAAGTCTTAGATAAATTCACAAACATTTCACTCTTCATAAAGATGAATATAAGTTTTTTGCTTTTACTACTAGAATAAGTAGCAAAAAGACTCTAAGTGGACTCATCAAATCAAGTTCAGCTTAACACACTGCTGGGGTAGACGTTTATGATCATTAAGATTTTTTTTCCATGTAATTGTTTTAGATCAGCAGTAATCCCTTGGCACGGTGTATCTCAATTTTTTTTAGAGTTTCAGAATTAAAGTTATACACAAAAAATATCAGATCAAGTTTTTTTTCCAGTTTACATATCTCATTTATTTTGTTTTAGGGTTCCTACTCTTCTAAGACAAAGTGATTTCAAACTTCTGTGCATCCAAGAAAACTGAGGAACTCTCCAAAGAAGAGAAGGTAAGTCCTAGGGACAACACTGTCTCCAGATCTATCAAATAAGACAAAAAGGGCTTCTTAAAATGTATAACTTGTTCTTCTTGACAAAATATTGACACCTGTGTCAAGCTGCAGTGTACTTGGTTGTTGTTGTTGTTGAGTTGCTAAGTCATGTCTAACTCTTTGAGACCCCATGGACTGCAGCACCCCAGGCTTCCCTGTCCATCACCATCTCATGGAGTTTGCTCAAATTCATGTGCATTGAGTCAGTGATGCCCTCCAACCGCCTCATCCTCTCTTGTCCCCTTCTCCCGCCTTCAATCTTTCCCAGCATCAGGGTCTTTTCCAATGAGTTGGCTCTTTGCATCTGGTGGCCAAAGTATTGGAGCTTCAGCACCAGCCCTCCCAGTGAATATTCAGAATTGATTTCGCTTAGGTTTGACTTGTTGGATCTCCTTGCAGTCCAGGGACTCTCAAGAGTCTTCTCCAACACCACAGTTCAAACGCACCAAGTAATGTGCACTTGGAAGCACATTACTAATTCTGCTAGCCTCCATGAATTCACTGTCGGCAATGATTCCAAAAAGTGGAGTTAAGCTAGTTTTATGCTGTTTCTGATTAAATGAAAGCAATGGCATTTCTACAGGTTTTTTTTTTAATTAGCTGGATGAGGACATCCTAAAATATATAGAATCTCTGCTTTTTTAACTAGAATTTCCTCCCAGAATGGAATAGACCAAACACAATGGATTATAGAGTGTGTGTGTTTCCCCACTTTGTGATTTGGAAGCTCTCTTGTTCTCAGAAAGTCTTAATCCTTTCTGAGCAGCACTTACATGGCAACCTTAGAGAATTAAACTTGTACCTGGTTATTTTTGTTCTCTTCTGGATATAGCTCAGTGCGTTTTCTCAATGGTAACCATGGTCGAGTAATTTAAAGCTTTTGAACCTTGCTAACAGTTTCATTTAAGACCATATTCTGAGGGATTTCCTCGAAATGAAAAGTGTTTTCTACTAGAAAGCTATAAAAGAATTTACAATAGAAAACCTGATAAGTGTCCTGCTCAGGATGTGTATACAGTGGCATGCCTAAAAGATCCGGTTTCCTAGAGTAAATCATTCAAAAAGTGCCCGACTGTTTGGCTTACTGGGTTGAGTTCTTTGAGTTTCTTTGACTTCACTTGATTGATGGCTTGTTTCTTCTTATAATACAAAGCTCAGTAATTCCTAAAATATATAGAATCTCTGCTTTTTTAACTAGAATTTCCTCCCAGAATGGAATAGACCAAACACAATGGATTATAGAGTGTGTGTGTTTCCCCACTTTGTGATTTGGAAGCTCTCTTGTTCTCAGAAAGTCTTAATCCTTTCTGAGCAGCACTTACATGGCAACCTTAGAGAATTAAACTTGTACCTGGTTATTTTTGTTCTCTTCTGGATATAGCTCAGTGCGTTTTCTCAATGGTAACCATGGTCGAGTAATTTAAAGCTTTTGAACCTTGCTAACAGTTTCATTTAAAACCATATTCTGAGGGATTTCCTCGAAATGAAAAGTGTTTTCTACTAGAAAGCTATAAAAGAATTTACAATAGAAAACCTGATAAGTGTCCTGCTCAGGATGTGTATACAGTGGCATGCCTAAAAGATCCGGTTTCCTAGAGTAAATCATTCAAAAAGTGCCCGACTGTTTGGCTTACTGGGTTGAGTTCTTTGAGTTTCTTTGACTTCACTTGATTGATGGCTTGTTTCTTCTTATAATACAAAGCTCAGTAAAATTTTCCTTTGGAGAAAGGGATTTTCTAGATTATGAAATAATTACAAAACACAAATATGTAAGAATGACAACATATTTACATCGGAAAACTTGAATTACTTGCACATATTTGATACTCTCTTCAGTCAATGACAATATATGTTCTTTTTTAAAATGAAAAAAGAATCATTGAAAAAATTTAGAGGTTAAGTGCCTACATCTTGAATCTATGACAATAACTGCAGTTGTGTCACTGATAATTTTATATCTAGGTTGCTAGATTTGAATTAATTTTATATCCAAAACAAGCAATCTTTTTTTTTCCCCCTCCATTAAAACTGACACAAATTTAGTACTCACAGAAGAGTTTTTTTCTTTTCAGCTTAGAGAAGGGCAAATAGAAAACAGAAGGGATGTTTTTTAACAATGAAATTATGGTCTAATTAGTTATATGTGTTGCATATAATAGTAGCACATACTGTTGTTTTCCTTTAATATTCCTTTCAGGCAGTTAGTTTTTTGCTTTTCGGATAAGGGTATCTCAAAGAACGGTGCCACAAGGGTCCTTTAATAAAAGTTCTTGTGGACACACATACACATTTACATACTCAGTAATTAACCAAAGCAGAAATAAAACTCTGGAGTAAATAGCTATTGTGTTCCACCTCTTGCATGCAGGATAATTTTCTCCCTTGATCTCAGTTTAAATAGTGGTGAGATTCCTCTGTTAAGATAAAATATACATATTTATATGTCTAATGCAAAATGGACATATTTACATGTCTAATACAAAATAATTTATATGTCTAATAATATAAAATAGACATAATTTTGCATCATGCATTTTCTTCAGTAGCTGTTAAGATTCTCTCTAAGAATTTTAGCAGTATATTTTGCACAATCCATGAAAACAAAGACCCTTGGAATATATGTGCGATAGACAGACAGATTAGATGAGAAGTGTTTTATCTAAGTTGCTTTGCTGACATTTTCCTCAAATTTTCCTCCTGACTTTTCATTCACATGTGAACCATGACAAAGGCTGTGAAGAACACCCCTGCAGTTCGATAACAGACTTCAAGTAAGTTACATTTTTAGGATAAATTGTCATGGAAGTATTCTGGAATTAGGTGCCTAGCTCTCCTTGTTATGAATGGGAGCTACACCCTTAGTTTCAGACACCTTAAGCTGAAATGTAATCATCTATGTATTTTTTCCTATAAAAAGATAACTCAATATTCAAGGCAAAAGCAATACTTATTTCTCTGAAACCCACCATCAATGAGATTCCTTCAGATCTTCCACATTTCACCCTAGAAAAAGCTGTTTCTATGGATGCCTCTATCATAAAGCAGGTCAACCTCCCCCTGTCTTGTAAGTACCCTCTCTTCAAACCCTTCTCTTACTTCATGTAAAGCACTCTTCCCATTTCAGGAGGTTCTCAAAAACAACCATTTAGTCTTTAGTAGCTAACATATAAACTCCAATGTTTAGTGCTCCTCTGAGATTCACAATGAATGAGAACTTCTCATAGGAGATAGTTGCTGCTATGGAGATAGGCGGTTGCATTAAAAACACATGTATAAGCATGTATCTTGATGAAGAAACAAAAGGTGTCTTGTACATACTCCGAAAATCTTCCTAAATCAGGCAAACCAATTACCTATTTTCTAACCTGGGGAAGACACCCAAACCAAACCAAAACAAAACAATTCTAAAAGAGTCTTTCTAAACTATATTCACCAGAAAGAGTTTTTCTGTTCTGATTTAGGCAAAATATCATGACTATGCTTTAAGGCATAGATTTTAACTAATATTTTTCAGTGTGATTGTAAATGTACTTAAATGTCCTTAGGTTCCCCAGATATTTTTTATGAAACCCAACAAGGATGCAGAAACATTTCCCAAATTTAAAAAAGTAAAAAGCAATGTTTTGCAAAAAGAGGACACATAAATATCACATAATTTCCCCGTACAGAATCATGCTATTATTTAAAAGTTGGTAAGAAGGATGGAAAGCATGTAAGATGTTAAGTGGTCCATTTTAGAAGTGGAAACAAGGCATATCATAAAAAAATTGAAATCCAATCGATAAGCCAAAGCTTATCATTTTTAGGCAGTAAACTCCACCCTTTTCCATGGCTTTAGAAAACTGAACTCAAAATTCTAAAACCTTGGACTTGTATAAAATTTTTATTATAATTTTTTTGTGCTCTAACAATATTGACCAAAAGAGAATGAGGAAAAACCAAGAACCCACATTATATTCAAATTGAATATTCCATCACTGTCCAAACTGGGATGGGCCTCAGATTATATCACCATTTGGCAGATAATCTAAGAATTCAATGGAATGAAAGAAACAGCATAGATTAACAATGTCCAAAAAAATCATCGTAAGCCTTTTAGATGATTGTAAGTATCTCTGTGCACATTGTTTTTTGGAACAAAGGTCATCATGGCTGACTGCAGGTTTTACTTTTCATCTGAGTGGTTTGGTATTTTGCAGAAACAGCGTTTGATGCAAGAGAAATATTGGGGCTTAAAATTTGTGAGATACTGGTAACTTTTCACCGTGCTTCTTGGTCCCTTGATCCTACATAAGAAGGCTTATCCCAAGCCTGGACCTCAGCAGTGTGGTTCAAGGTGTCCTATTTAGCCCAAGACTTGGGAAAGAATGATAGAGCTTTCTGAAACTGCCAGTCTGATTTGAAAATCTGGGCAGGTCTGTACCCAAGGGAGCATTCAAGCTTATTGAGTTCTTTGACCATTCGTGTTTGCGTCTGACTTTATATATGCCAAGTACAATGTGCGTGTCTGTCTTCTGTGATATTGCCAAGGTGACACTTGGCTTCAGTCTAAAAAAGGGGGGGGGCATAAACAAATTTTCTTGTTAAAATGTATAACCTATGGGGGGAAAAGAGCAAAACACAAAGTGATTAGAAAAAAATTTTTCCATTTATTTAGGTCACTATCTTTTTTAAACCATGAACTAAAATTGAATAGTAATTTATTCTATTACAAAGAGCAAAATTGGGTTTTGGGGGGCTGTCCCAGGGCTAGTGAAAAAACAGCAGAAATAGCTAATAAAGAAAATACTTTGGCAGACTCACTTGAAAACTGGCTAGAGAGCACCATTCTGAAGTTGATTATTTCAGTTTCATCCTATATCAGCTATAAAGCATTGCTCTCACAAAGTTAAGGTTGCTGGATATTTCAGGGCCCTTAAAAATATCACAGTGTAATTATTTTTGAACCTGGACAGGGG